AGGAGGCCGGCCACGGCCACGCAGCCCCACGTGCCCCTGGGTCCTGGCAAAGCCCTGAGCCACCCCACTTCCTGTGGATGGAACAGGACTTCTACGGTCAGGAAATTAAGCCGGCTGTCCAAATCCCTTCTGGATCTCCAAATCCCTTCTGGGACATCCAGGTCTCTCCGAGAGCCAGAAAATCACTTTTCTCCTCTGGACGGGAAGATGAGCACTCTGCATCTCCCAGACGGGGAGGGCCCGGGGGCCGTGGGTGCCAGCCTCACTCACTGTCAAGACCAGAAGACGGCCCAGGCACTGGGCTCACTCACTGCCCTTCACGCCTCGACCACCCACCTGTTGGGCAGCACCTTCCAGGTCAGATTAAGTAGGCACAAGCTGGGCATGGTCCTGGCATCCTCCAGGGCCCCTGTGCCCTGTGGACAGCCCACACTTCTGAAGCCTCCCGGAGACCACAGGGCTCTCTTGCCCAAAGCCCCCTCTGCTCCCCAGTGTCCCTGCAGCCATCCAGAGTAGGCCTCAGGCCATCAGGTCACACACAGCCAGGGAACTTCCAAAGGGCAGGGCTGGCCCAACATGTCTCCCTGGCCAAGTCCCTCAGCTGTGGCCCTCCAGGACTTGCTCTGGGAAGTGGGAGCTGAGCGGAGAAGGTGGTAAGGGCTGGGCCTGAGAGGCAGGGAAGGCCTGGCCACTGCCACTGGCAGGTCAGCAGAGCCGAGCAGGAAGAGATGCCCAACGGGGCTGTGAGTAGTCACAGGTGATCTGAGTGTTTGCATCTAATGCTTCTTCCAAGAACCCCCGGTGCAGCAGGACCCTGCCGGTCTCAAGGCCACTACAGGTGGGTGGGCTAGGAGAGCCAGCTCAAGGCCTGACAGAGCCTGCCCGCCCTTCCGCTGCCCACGACCGCAGGGTCTACTGGACACTAATGCCATCCTTACCTAACCTGAAGACTCTCTGGAACGCGAGGGCCCAGCCAATGGGTCTTCAACCATCTCCACCCCAGGCCAGCAGGCGGAGATGGGCAAGCCAGGGCGGCTCTGGATGCCCTCAAGCTGGCAACGACATTGCCTCTTTGTAAAAGTCAAGCAGTCAGACCACACAAGTGGCTCACCAGAAAAATTCAAATTACCCTCTGAGGGAACCGGGGATCCGGCCGTAGGCCCTGGGAGTGCTCGGCAGTGCCAGAGCTCTGGGGCAGCAGGAGCCAGGGGCTGGCAGGTTCTGCAGGCCTGCAGCTTGAGGCTGGAGCCACAGAGCCACCATGGGGTAGTGGCCTTCTCCCCTCTCCCCGGAACATAGGGTGCCCTCAGTGCCTTCGAATCCCATCTCAGGGCTCAAGGAAGTCCAGACTCCAACTATTTTTTACCCCAAATCTAATCTGCATCAAGCTTTGACACTGAGGAGTCAGTTGTGGCTTCTCAAGTGAGGTGGATGCTGAAACCTGACCTATTGCCCACAGAATAAGCTGGACCCCCCTGTTGTGAACAGTGGTCTCTGTTCTCCCAGCCAAAGCGTCCACAGTGCCCTGAAGAGGGCAGCCTGGCCAGCAGCTAACATGGAGTCCTCTGCACGGGTACACCTGGTGAGCCCAGCAACCAGCACTGTGGAAGAACAGTAAGACCTAGTGCTCTGGAGCCCGACGGGTAGCTGCTTTACGTGGTGGCAAGTTCTCTGGAAACCACAAAGGTCTAGTCACACTCCGTTTCCCAGGGTCATCTCGCTCCAGGAGACGGCACAAGCACAGGTTGGGGAGGTTCCTGCAGCTGTGCGCTGCTCAGGCCCTCCACAGCACTGAAGCAGAACCGGCTGGGGTCCCCACAGCTCCGTTCACACCACAGGTTCAGCAGAGTGGCACGGACAGAGTGTGGAGAGGAGGACGGTGTGCACAGAGGGCTTTGTGTGGCCTGCACAAGGCCCAGCCCTGGGGGAGGCACAGGAGCGGACGGCCCAGCCAAGCTAACGGAGCAGGATGTAGGTCATGGAGCAGTGCCTCAGCTGTGCCCTGCTCCCGTGGGGCTCCCCCAGGACAGAATCACGATGTTGAAGACATAGAGTGCCTTCACATCCGGGAATCTTGCTGCCAAAGACTCTCACAGCCACCCATGTCCCTCCTTACCCAGCAGTCTTAATTCCTCAAAGAAGTTTGGATAACTCTGGGCTGAATTTTTTCCTGATTTCTAGCTTCTCTTCTCTGGCAGTCCCTGTACCTGCTGTCAGCCCAGCTCTAGTTTGTTCTGGGGTGGTCATTCCTTACTGGACACAGAATTTGATAGATTAAAGCATGACCCATGCACTCTCCAGGTACTCCTGGAGCCTGATCTCTTTTCATCTTCTATAAGTCAAAAAAGGAAAAATGGGGACAGTCTCAAATGCTTCGACTAATGCAGATCCAGATTCACCAACAGACACAAGCACTGAGCACTGCGTCTCCAATAAAGCACTAACACGGTGGGCCCTCAGGCGCCGACGTCAGAGACCAGGAGTGCTGTCAGCTTTTACAGATGTCACCTTTGCAGTTTCCAGACTAGGGCCAAGAACCCAGGCCATTCTATTCTGGCTCAGCCACCAACCTGGTTGTCCCAGTCCTGGGGAAACTGTCTCTTCACTTCTGTGCTGAGATAAATCTTCCTGGAAGTAACAGTGTCCATGAGCCAGCAGGAGCCTATGCAGAAAGGACATGGGTGACTGCAAATGCCCACTTCTCAGTTCCTTGGAGGCACCTCTAAGATGGCCCACTTCTCAGTTCCTCGGAGGCACCTCCAAGATGACATCAGAGAACAGTCACCGGCCATGAAAGGTAAAGTCCTGCTCTAAGATTCCCAGAGATGCCCAGTGTGTAGCAACATCCCCACGAGCCCACAGGGAGCCCTGGGACTCGGGTTCTTTCCTTTCTTTTAATTATTTCCTCTCCAAAAGAACCCCGCCGGGATAGATCTTATTGAGTTCAGAATGTTCCAGGGCACATAATCAGCCTGCCCTGTTCCAAGTTGCTGCAGTGCTCTGTGGCTGACCTCTTGTGGGCCTCCTCCCTGTTCCTCCCAGTTCCTCCATGGTAAGACAGAGGGCAAAGCAGCCTCTTGAAAGGAGGACACCATTGGACCTCACAGTGCCACACATTCTGTCCCCTGAGGCACGTGGGTTTGGCGGGTGCCCCTAGGGCTCCTCAAGGTACGTGGGTGCCAGGGTTAGCCTTGAGGACAGGACAGGGCCTGCGTTTTGCATGAATCGGCCTGAAATGTTTGCTGCGGACTTACCTTTAAGATGGTGCAAGGAATCCTGGGAAATATCTGGTGGTGTCTGAGGTCAGCCTGGGGCTCGGGCCCTCAGCAGGCAGCAGTATTTGGTGAGAATTTAATACCCTTTTGTTTTCTTTTATCTATTTTTATGGTGACCTGTCTGTAATTGACACTGAGTTGCCTTCTTTAAAATAAACCTATCCTTTTAATAAAATACAAGTGGTTTAAAGGAAAAAATTTGTCCAAATAACAATTTCAGGGGATATAATCCAAAACTAAGCTGAGGAAACACTGAGTCCAGCCCTGACTCTGACGTGGGAGCCCTCCTCAGCATCACATCCCAGGAGGCCAACTCCTCCCAGGGCTCCTGACAGGGAGCTCACCACCTCTGAGGCTTCTCCCGTCGGCTGTGGGGCTCCACACCTGAGCAGGTCCTTGCAACCCGGGAGACATTTGCAGGCTGCTCCTGCTCTCTCCAAGTCCACCCCACCTCCCCTTTCAGGTGGGAAGAGCCTGGCCCCCTGCAGCGCGTCGTCCTTCACCAGGTCCAGAATGAAGGTTGGTGGGTTTCTTCTCTTGCAGGGCTGTGCCTGGAGCAGCTGGACCTCACCTCAGTTCTGGGAGTGCAGACTGGCACACAGACAGGCTGGGGCCCTGTGGAAATTAGCAGGGACCCACAGGACCAGGTGCCAGTGGGCACTCGCCACACCTGCTGCAGGAAGGAAGACCCTTTGTTAACTAATGGGGCAGGCAGACATTCCCAAGTCCCTGCACCTGCTTCTCTTTTGTGCAGTGACACCCCCACATGGCCCTGCCTTACCCTCCCGGTTGGGGAGCTGGAGGCTCCTGTGCTCCCTCACTGCCCCGCCCCTGTCTGGTCATTCCCTCACCCAGCTCATCTCAGGAGTCACACTCATGTGCAGAGTCGGCTTTTTTCTTTCTTTGCAGTGCTGAGGATCCAACCCAGGCCCCACACCTGACAAACAAGGGCTCTTCAGCTGAGCCAGCCACACTCCCAGACCAGGGGTGACTGTTATAGACGTCTTCCTACATAAAGTTGCTGAAACCAAAAAGGAGAAACTTTTGGAGAGCTATTTCCATCGGCGGCCGACACCTGGCAACTCCACATCCTGTTCTTATGCAACAGTTTCCACGTTCTGTGTGGACGCGCTGTCGTTGCCCCCACTCACAGAGAGGACACTGAGGCCCAGAGGGGTTCTGTGAGGTGTTCCAGGTCGCAGCAGGGAACCACTGGTAGGAATGTAACAGGGCSCACGTCAGGGGAATGCACCCGGTACCCTCCCCTCCACGTCAGCGCTCATGTCAAAAGCCACACCGTTTTATGGGAAAAGCTGTGGGCAGGAACCGTGGTCTCCCCGGGAGAGGGTGCGCAGGAGCGTYCTAGGCCGGCCGGCCGAGGGGCCGCGCGCCTGTGGGACCTGGGAGCCGGCGGTGACTTTCGCTGGGCCGCCCACCTCTCGAAGCCCCGGCGGCCTTTTGGACGAGCTGGGCGAGAAACCGCGACTTCCCTTGGTTCCGCGACGCGCTCCGCGAAACTCAGGGCCACCGCCTCTGGTCCTGCCCCCGCCCCGCCTCCGCCTCCGCCCGCCGGCCCCGCCCCGCGACGCGACACGCGCGCGCTCCCGCAGCTGTCAGCTCAGGGCCCGGCCCCGTCCGGACCGCGCTGCCATTGGCCAGCGTGGTGAGGCCCGGCGGCCTCCGCGGCGGGGGCGGCCCCGAGCGATGAATGAAGCCGGAGTGGGCAGCGCGCTGCGCTCAGAGCGCGGAGCGCAGCGCGGCGGCCGGGCCCACAGGACGGTGAGTGCGCTGGGGGCGGGAGCGGGCGCCGCGGTGGGGCGCGGCCCAGGCGCGCAGGGACCAGACCTGCTGACGTCAGGAGCACGGCAGGTGCCGGCGGAGGCCGGGCGGGACCCAGCCAGATGGAGGCAGCGTTAGTCCCGAGAGAGAGGTGTGGGATGCTGGCGGGCGGCAGGCCCGGGCATCCCCAGTGCGCCCCGAGTTCCTCTTCTGGGGGAGGCAGAACCGAGGGGACCCGGATGCAAAATTCGCCCTTCTCTCGGCGGCTTCCCAGGCAGGAAGCCCCGAGTCTCTGGAAGGCGGGAGGAGGGTGAAGAGGTCCCCCGCTGCCGTGGTGCGTAAGGAAAGGTGGGTGGTGGTTGGAGGCTTAGAGCCGATTGGAGAGCGGAGCTGGTGACCTGAGCAAGTGGCTGCGAGCCCACGCAGGTGTAGACCCGGTGGGTCAGGCCGGGGACAGATGCGACTGCCCAGGGCTTCAGGGTAGCAGCAGGTCACCCACCTGCACCGGATGCTGCTGCGAGTCTAGGAGGAAATCGTCAGGCACAGAAGTTTCTCGTGGGGCTTTGTCCAGGGAGGGGAGGAGGAGTGGGATGGTTCCCACAGCCGGCACCCTGGTGCAGCTCTTGGTTCCCCTGGCCCGGGAGGATGCAAACCCGGGTGCCAGCCTCCCACCGGTGCTCTGTGCGCACATGTGGCCAGGGACCAGGAAATCCGTGACAGATCAGACGCCCCCGGATTTCCACCTCCTTGGGGAGGTCCGCCCCAGTTTACCAGGTCTCTGCGAGAGAAGGGGAGGGACCAGCGTGATCCCGCTTTGAGGACGGGGTTCTTCCCGCCTCTGACTCGATGTGGCTCAGTGTGGCCCAGTGTGGTGTGGGCGGCCTCCCTCCTTCGTGGCCAAGGGGTGTACTTCCCTCTGCAGACTTGGAACCCCAGTAGTTTTCCACAGCGATGGGGCTGCTTTCCATGGCTGATCCTGAAGCGTGTGTTCAGAACTTAGCTTTCTCTGCCTAATCTGAAGCTGGCTCTTCCCAGCCCTGACAAGTTCCTCTCTGCACTTGGGGCAGATGGACTTCAGAGGGGAGAGCACCTGGGTCTCCTGGCTCCAGAATCTGGGTCATACCATTACTGACAGCAGGTGGCTGTCCCCTGCACAGGGAGGTGCTCTGTGCTGTTCTGTGCCCCTACAGGGGGCATTGTTCACACTCCTACTGCCCAGGGAGCCTGCCAGGCACCAGGCCACCCAAGGGGTGAGGTGAGACGTTTGCCCAGCTTGCGGACCTCCACGTTAGTCTCTGATCACTCTCTGCAGGGGTAGACCAGTACCCAGGGCACCCAGGGAGGGCTCACAGTTAAGGGGACATCGCGTTTGGCTAGGCCAGTCTGTGACCTAAGGATACAGGAGGAAGGGTGTCTTTCAGGGAGGGAGGCCACACATGTGCTGCGGAGGGGGCCAGGGCCGGGGCCTCTTGATTGCTAATCTGGAGCCAGCTCAGCCTGACTGCCCTGCGTCAGGAACTGTCCTGCTTTCCCGCTGGGCAAGGCCAGCAGGTACTGCCTGGAAAATCTTCATGGGCTGTTCCCCTCCAAGGGAGCTATGACCTAATTGTGCCTCACTGGGCGTGGCCCTGAAGCAGGTGCTGGGCAAGTCCCAACCAGATCCCTGCCCACCACTGYGGAGGGCAGGGCAGGCAGGATGAGGGCAGTGTGGTGTGAGAGGACCTAGCAGCAGGCAGTAGACGCCCAGTGGCTGAGCTCTCTCGTCCAGATGCAGAGGCTTCCTGCTCACTGTGAGATCAGAGTTCACTTGTGGAGGAGCTTAGTATTGGGCCTGCACGGCCTGGGTCTAGAAGTGTCTGCGAGTGTTACTCTGACACCCAGGTGGTCCTACTGAGTCATATAATTGTATGACTTCATAGACTCAGAGGACTGAGTTGTCCCTGAGTTCTCTCCAGATGGTAGGAGATGGGCCTCAGGAGGGGCCATGTGAGCCTGTGTTTGTGGACAGGAGGGGTAGGTGGGGAGCCGTGCTGGCACACGCCTGCTCCTCCATGGCTGTGTCCAGTGGAGTGTGGACAAGGGCCACCATTGGACAGTTCTTGGAACCCTGTTGCTGTTTTGTTCTGGGACCTGTTGCTTGTCTGGGCTCGGTGGGGGCAGAACCCTGGTCCTCTACCACAGCGAGTAATCAGAGAGACCCTCAGGGATTGTGCCCTTGGAGGTGTGGCAGGGGGAAGGCACCAGCAGCCCATGGGTCAGGGAGCACRGGAAATGGGCTTGCTGGACCCTGGGTTGCATCCTCCTGGGGGGTCATGGCAGAGGGAACAGGAGGTGAGGGCAGGGAGCTGGGGCCTGGGGACCTCCTTCCCCTCTGCCAGCCTGCAGCCACTGTCCTCAGATGCCAAGGCCTCTGGCTTTTCTGGACACCCCTTCCTTCCCCTGGACAACCAGGGTGCAGCTTCCTTCCTGCCAGCGTCACGCAGAATCAGCATCTCAGACCACATTTCTGGGGGAGGGTGAGTGCTTTCCAAACCCCCTGCCCGCCTCAGCCAGGGTTTCGCCTGTGAGTGCCAGAGACCCCAGACTCCAGGACCAGGGCACTTCCACTGTCTCCTCTCCACCCTACCAGCCCAGGCTTCTTCTGAGGCCCCTTTCACCCACCCAGGCCTGCCTTTCCCCGTGGTTTCATCTGGAAGGTCCTGGGTATCTGAGGGATCGCCCTTGGATGTGAGCCAGAGTGCCCGAACCAGCAGGCCTCCCTTCCCCACCTGCTGAAGGCCACTGGATTTTGTCCTTGGAGTCCATCCCTCAGGAGACCCAGGGGCTTAAGAAGACATCTGAAAACAAAGTGACCCAGCTGTGCCAGGTGGGTTCCTTATCTGCATAAAGCCTCTGGTCCTGCAGAACCCAGGAGAGCCATGAAAACCACGGGGCTGTGAACCCCACCTTCAGGAAAACCCGGTCATGGCCAGCACTTACCTGCTTACTAACAATGGCAGTGCTGCAGTGGGAGCCAGACGTGAGGACAATGCAAGCCACTCGTGTCCCTAGCCATCAAATGAGCTGGGAGGCAGGTGTGGGGACAGGAGGGGGGCCCAGGTGTGCCAGTTCCTGGGTTAGGAATATGTTCCTCATGAGCCCCAGTGGTGCCCAGGCCCATGGGTGTAGAGGGGCTGGGCCCTCRCCCTCATGACGTGGTGCCACATTGCAGGGGTAAACTGAGGCCCAGAGAGGTCAGTGGCCTGCCTAAGGTGGGAGCACCTGCATGGTGTGCAGACAKCCTCTGCCTGTCCTCCAGGTCCATGAGTGGTCAGGAGGCAGGGGAGGGACAATGTGCTGCTTCCCTTAGCTGGTCCCACCCTCCCCACACTCCCAGGTGCAGTGGGAGGAGCTGGGGGGGGGAAGGTCCTCTGGAGCCAGCCCTGTGCCCCAGCAGGGGCTCTGCGTCATCTGTCCTTCCCTGCTGGCCTTTATGCAAAGCAGCTGGCTTCCTGCACCTCACCTGCTGTGGTCGACAGGTGTGCATGCTAGGCTGTGCCAGGTGTGCAGCAGCCTTGAACCCTCCCCGTGCCTGCCCTGGAAGTACCTCKAGCCCTTTCTTGGATGTGGAAGTGCCTCTCCTCACCGCCCAGGGAAGACACCAGGGTGGTCCCGGAGGCAAGAAAAGAGTGTCCGGTTCTCCTGAGGGCTGGTGACGGGGCAGGGCAGCACAGGGAGCCAGCTACAGGTCGTTGGCTGAGGCTGGTGCCTAAAGAGAGGAGAAATGGAACCTGTGGTTCTGCCCTGGCCACCAAGGCCCAGGTGGGTCTAGGAACCAGGCCTGGAGCATCCCCAGACATGGAAGGTTCCAGGCCTCCCTGGGCCATCGGGCAGGGAGTCAGGAGCAAGCACCAGCACTGTGCCAGTTGAGGGCCACTCTGGGGAGGCCATGTCCTTCATGCCGGCTGCAAGTGGAGGCTTTGCAGGCTCCCCATCTGGTGGCCACCCGCAGGGGCCCTGGCTTCTCACAGGGCTCTCCTGAGGGAGCCACTGGGTTCTTTCCCAGACACCGGCCAGACACAGAGGAAGGTCAGCACTTGCTACCCCTGAGACACAGTGCGGGGGACTCAGCAGGGACCTGTGGTCTCCCGCAGCCCCCTCCTGAAAGAGCAGGCACAGACACGTGTGTACCCCAGAGCCCCAGTGAGCCGCTGGCCGCAGGCTCCAAGACACGCACCAGGCCCCAGCTGATCATCTTGGCCTAATCTGTCAGGGCTCCTCCTGTCCCGCCAGCTGTCCTGGTCAGAGCTGGGGCAGGCTGAGGGGCGCCCATGCCTCTCCAGAGAGCGAGTGCCCTGCATCCTCCCTCCGCCCCGAGGAGTGCAGTTCAGTCTGTGCTCTGCTCAGGCCCAGGAGGCCACCCGAGGCACCGTGCCAGGTGCTTCTAGCTTTGGCTCTTTCCCTTGGGATGAAGGCCGCGGAGCTGTGGGAGACAGTGGGGCCCAGAGGCCAGCAGCGCCCCAGGGACCTGACTGCACAGAGCACCAGTGGTGGCTCCCAGTCTGGGCACATGGACAGGCTTCACCCAGGCTCCCTGCTACTGGCTGCTCAGTGGCCACACATGGCAGAAGTCCCAGCAGAGTTTGTCCTAGGGACAGGGCAGTGGAGAGTGTGCCCAGCTTGGCAGGGGCCATGGACCCACCTCCCACAACGGGCTGCATGTCACAGGGTCTGTGTGCCCAGGAAGGTGCCAGCCAGCGTGGGCCCGTGGGCTGTTCGTAAGTGTGATGGTGCTGGGTGTGCTGTCAGAGGCTCTTCCCTGGTGGGGACCTGGGTGAACTCCTAGTTCCACCTGCTCTCCACAGCCAGGGCTGTTGGGACCCAGGGCACAAGCAGGCTGTAGCCAGGTGCAGGTTCTAGGGGACCCTTTTGGGGGACCACATTCTAGAGGGCCTGAACCCCAGTGTCCAGCATGCAACAAAGGAGCAGAGTGACCACTGCATAGGTTAAGACAGCATGTGGGAGAAGAACCACCAGTTGGACACACATAAAGGGACTTGTAAGGACCTGGCTCAGCAATTATAGAGACCAGCAAGTCCTAGAGCTTAGACAGCYCCCGGAGGCCCAGGACAGCTGGCAGCGTAGCTCCAGCCCAGAGGTGGGCAGCAGCGGCTCCCAGCAGGGGCSCCTCATATGCAGCCTTCTGTTTGGGGCAGCTCCCACAGACCACTTGCAGCCACCCATGTTGAGAGGGTGGCCTGCTGGACCCTGTCCAGAGTTAAGTGCGTCTCATCCAGAACACCTTCACAGACATGCCCAAATTGGTGTCGGACAAATGTCCGGGCACCCATGGCCCAGCCAAGCTGACGCACAGTACCCCAGGGGGGCTAGCGGCCCAGCTCCAAGACCACTGCGCTTGGCCTCAGAAAGCAGGTACCTCTGTAAAGGCCACAGGGAGACCCAGGCTTCAGTGCAGGGGGCTTTCTGGATGAGAGTTCCAYAGGACAGGGACACTGGCAGGAGCTGCTGACCCTCCCCTGCGGGTGTGGTCTCCTCCCCCCATGGCTGCCCATCCCCTGGGCCCAGGTCTCCCTCTTGCTGTCCCCAGCTRCCCGGCTCCAGCCCTCGCCTTGCTCAGGCCCCCCTCAGCATCAGCCCGGCCTATAACTCAGGCCCCATGAGAAGCAGTGTCACCTCAGCTCACCTGTGCTGGCCACAGAGCAGGTGTCGTCCATCTGTGCACTGACCGCCCTGCTACATGTGGCCAGCTTTATGATGAGGGGGCAGTCTTGAGATCTCCATGGCCCTTTGAGGGAAGCTTTTGGGAGAGGCAGGTCCTTTGAACGGGGGTCAAGGGTCAAGGCAGGCTGCATCCCCCAGCCAAGTGCCATCTTGAGGGATGCTGTCAGGTGCCCAGAGCACACCAGTGCTGGGAGCCTGGGGGGGCTGGGGCTTGTCTGCTGCTGTTGTGGGTTAGCAGGCCGAAAGCTGGCACCCCTTTGTCCAGTCCTATGCCAACAGGAGAAAAGTTAGGGGCCCGCTTGTGCGTGTGTGCACACACAGACTCACGTACACATGCACATACTCACCGGCCCCAGAGGACACAGTTCACAAGGGTCAGCCCGACCTCAGCCCAGCTGCAGCGCCTGCCCTCTGCAGAGGGGCTGGGCCAGGGGCCAGGGGCCTCACACATCCGTGGCACCCTCCTTGGCTCACCAGGTTTCCACAAAGGGCCCGAGACTGAGATGAGAGCCAGTGGACACAGGTGCTGCCTGCGCTTGGTGACCTGAGCTCACCTCCAGGGAAGGCCACGCAGGATCTGCTACGGCTTCCCAGAGGTTGGCAGATCCCAGGAAGAAGCTTGCTTTTCAGGGGCCAGGCCCTGCCCCAGGCCTCACCAGCATGGTCTTGAGGAAGCCTGTGGCCACAAGACCAAGGTGGGGCTGGCCACAATGTCACCGTGTGGTTACCGCGGCTGTGGCCTTCATTTCCTGAATGGGGCTGGTGTCTGCAGTGGAAAGATGCCTCAGGACTCAAGGCCTGTGCCATGTGTCCAGTGCGGCTCCTTCAAGTCCAGACCAAGGCAGATGAGCAGGGCACCTCCCTCTGGCTTGCTCACTCAACAGGGCCACATCCATGGTGCCAGGCATCYGTGGGAGACCTTGGGAAGGCCAGGGCTTGGCAGAGTCCCCTACCACTCGTCACCCTGCTGGTGGAGGACACAAGCCAGGTCCCTGCAGGTGCTGTGGTTCTGCCCAATCAGCGGCAGGACTCAGCCTCCTCTGAGGGGACCGCTACTCATTAAAAAAAAAAAAAAAGAGGCTCTAGCAGAGGCGTCCAGTCTTGGGAGAACAGGCTGGACTGAGGCAGGACAGGCTGCAGGTGACACAGGCACGCTCCTCGGCCCAGCCACCAGAGGCCTGAGCACACAGAGCTGACCCCTCAGGGATGCTGTGCAGGCCCAGTGGTGGACACCTCCAAATGGCCACAGAATGCTTTTCACTGGCCTTCCTAAAAGGAGCAGGTTGTAAGCCCAGAAGGTCCCTGGCTAGAATTTAAAACAGGACTTTAAAGCACTCGCTTGAATGTAGGAGGGAAGTCTAGTTCTAGGCCGACCTTCGCACACTTGGGTCGGAGTTTTCAGTTCAAGGTGGAGTTGAGCCCGGAGCAGGGCCACCACAGCCTTCTGCAGCATGGCTTCTTTCTTGAGCAGGAAGTCCTTGGGGTTTTTGTGGCCACTGCTAGTCACAGGGGCTCTGTGGCCTGACTTCCTCCACACCCTGCAGACTGGTCCTTGGGTCACCTGTGTTGTGCCATAGCCACCCCAAGGCCAGGGCTGAGCAGGCTCAGTAGGCGTGGGACAAGCCCAAAGCCCACGCTGGAGTTGGCGCTGGAAGGCCAAGCCACAGGTCCCCCCCAGAGTTTTGGGGGACCTCATGCCACCTCCATTCTTCTCTCCATCCTGAGCCTGCTGGTAGCCCACAGTGTCTGGGCTGGTGCCTGGCCCTCCCTGTCACCCTGCCCCGTCAAGCCCTGGCTCCAGCATGCCCTCTGCCCTGACCCCTGCAGCACTGAATGCACTCACTGGCGTCCCTGGCTGGTTGCTGGGTGGCTTGGCGCTGCAGGCGACCACCTGTGGCCCCTCTGGGAGGCTGGTTATTTCCGCTGTGTAAACGCGGCCCCCTCCTTCCTCTGGCACTGCCCTGAGGGCTGAACTGGCAGCCAGCTTGCAGAGAGATGTTGGCACTAGGAGAAAAAACCCTGGCCTGGTCACCGGCACTGAGAACAGGCCCCCGGGGATGACTGCGGTCAAATAATTGCTGTTCTTGGCATCGAAACACAGCTGCCGGTGCCCAGCAGTGCCCATTTCCAGTGCCAGCGCGGGGCCTGTGCGCACACGCCTGCCACGGTCAGGGTTCTCTCAATACTGCCTSGTAAGAGAGTCGTGGTTCCTCACACTCCGAAGCCGGCCGCCCGGATCAGGACCTGATTGCTGCTCTCTGGCTGCGTGGCTTTGGACAAACCATGCACCSCCTTGGAGAGCTAGGCCAGGCCTGGTACAGTCGGCACCCACCAGATGTCACCAGCCAGAGGGCTGCTTCAAAGTCTGTAGCATTCCGTGCCCTTGAGAGGCAAGAGATGAGTGGGCCTTTGGGTTGGCACTTGTGGCCTCTGGCTGTGGCACTTGTGAGATGTGTGGGCTGAGGGACCAGCATTGGCAGAGGAGGTGGAGGGGGCCCTGGCGCCAGCCCTGGGGTGCACTGCGGCAGCGGGCTTCCACAGAGCCGAGTGCCGCTCCAAGCATTTCGGAAGACCCACCGTGTAGCACAGGCAGTCGCTGTGACCTTGGCGTGGCCTGTCCCCAGTGTGCAGGGCTCCTTGGGGCCTCAGAGGCCCATCTCGGTTCCCATGCCTCGGAGACCTGGAGCCACATGATTACTCTGTGCCACAGGGCACGAGGGCCACCCATGCATGAACCTCAGGAAGAATCGGGCTGGGCTGGCGTCTGCTGCTCATCCTGGCTGGGTCCATCGGGGCGCTGCACCAGCAGGCGGCAAAGGCAGTTTGTGTGCAGGAAGAGCTCTGTGGGCGGGGAGCGCGGGTCCGCTGTCCCTGTGCAGTCCTGCCATGTCCCACCCACTCCCACCTCGAGGCCTCCACCTGGCACTTTGCCCTCCGCCTCAGCCCTGCAGGCTCCCCTCCCAGGACACAGCCTCTTCCTGCGGTGCTCACAGGAGCACTGGAATGGGGACCTGGCAGGATATGGGACCAGGCAGGATGCCCCAAGGTTGGGTCTGCCCAGAGGCCACCCTGGATTTGGGGAGGATCAGGGAAGGCACCTGTGATGGGGCCGCTGGGCCATCACACAGGGACGTCAGCGTGTTCCRGAGGCCAGGTTTGCTAACCAGCACCTCTTCCCACAGAATCAACCCGGTCGCTGGATTTCCGCTCAGCCACTTGGCCTGCGACTGTCTCAGGGACCTACTGAAGCCCTCGCCCTGGGGCAGGATGCCCCAGCATGTCACGGTGGACAAGGGCTTCCTTTCCATGCCGCAGCTCCTCTTTCCCAGCATGCCCTCKGCCACTGAGAACGGGACTGACCCCACCCTGCCTGGCATCACCCCCGTCTCCCTGTGYTCCACCCACAGCCCCCTGGACTCCTGCGGCCAGCTCCTGTGTGAGCCCAGGGCTGAGAAGCACAGCAGCCTGGGGCCCCGTGAGGTGCGCTACGTCTCCGTCTCCGAGGGTCCCCAGGACACAGAGTGTGGCTGGCGGGCCTTCGCACCCCGGTGCCTGCAGGTCTTCAACACGCCCAAGGGCCTCCTCTTCTTCCTGTGCGTGGCCTCCTTCCTGCAGGGTATGACCGTGAACGGCTTCATCAACACGGTCATCACCTCCATCGAGCGCCGCTTCGACCTGCACAGCTACCAGAGCGGGCTCATCGCCAGCAGCTACGACATCGCCGCCTGCCTCTGCCTCACCTTCGTCAGCTACTTTGGGGGCAACGGGCACAAGCCGCGCTGGCTGGGCTGGGGCGTGCTGGTGCTGGGCAGCGGCTCGCTGGTGTTCGCGCTGCCCCACTTCACGGCCGGCCACTACGAGGTGGAGGTGGATGAAGGGGCCAGGACGTGCCCGGCCAACCAGAGCGTGGTGTGTGCGGACAGCACCTCAGGCCTGTCCCGCTACCGGCTGGTCTTCATGCTGGGCCAGTTCCTGCACGGCATGGGCGCCACGCCCCTCTACACGCTGGGTGTCACCTACCTGGACGAGAACGTCAAGTCCAGCTACTCGCCCGTCTACATCGGTGAGTGGGCTGGCTGAGGGGCCAGGGTGGGCGCGAGAGGCCAGGTTGGTGTTAGCGGAGTGAGGACAGCCAGTCCTGAGCCGGCCCCTGAGGAGAGTAGGTGGGGGTCTAGCCCTTCATGGCTCCCTGGTTCTTCTGACCCAGAGCCCCACCTGGTATGACAGCCAGTGGGCTTCACCCAAGTGCCACGAGGCCTGAGGGATGCTTGCCCCCCTTACAAGGCCCCCAGCAGGGGCTCCAGGCCACGGGACCTGGGAGCCCAGCCAAGGCTCCACATGGGGTCTGCCCTCCTCGTGGGGCTCCCTTAGACGTGGACGGGGCCCAGCAGGAGCCGCAGAGCCTCCCCATGAAGAGGCCTGCGGGCAGGTGAGGGGGGCAGGCCCCGCCCTGCCAGGCTTCCCACCAGCCCACCCCTGCTCTGCTCGGCCCCGTGGGCGGGAAGTAGAGCAAGAGAACCAGGAGAGTCGGGACCTGAGACCAAGTGGCCAGCTCCTGGGTTCTGCCGCTGCCCGGGACTGGCGTGTTCCCCACCCTGCCCAGGTGGGCCCTCTGCTGGGGCCTCGACTCAGCCTCCAGCTGTCCCTGTGTTGGGACATGGACCCAGTCCCCTGCCACGCCTGAGCCTCGCTCTGCCCACCCGGCCTGCTTCTCCATGTCCCCCTCTGGGACCTGGCTTTCCCAGGAGGGGCAGCTTAGAGATGGTCCCAGCAGCTGGGTGGCACTTTGGGGACCAGGCTTCCTCAGCCACCCAGAGGTGGCCACCCTGGGTGCCAGGCAAGCTGGGGCCGCATTACTCCACCAGTGGACGCCCGCCTGGCTGGCCCTCCCAAACCCTGGTTGGGGCTGGGCCCTTGCTGCACCTGGGCAAGGCCATGGCTGCTTCCCTCACCTACAAAGTGAGTCCTGGGCACATCTGCCCTCGTGGGGGAGTCCAGGTTCACCTGGGGGCATCTCGAGAAGGTGATGTTGCCCAGGTGTCAGGCCTGGCTCAGGCTATGGACGGACCTGGCCCACGGGCCATGATGGACAGCAGGTGCAGACACATGGTGTAGGCCCCTGGGAGTGCCCAGGGTGGCTTCTGAGCCCCCAGCTCTTGTCCCCCCAGCCATCTTCTACACCGCGGCCATCTTGGGCCCTGCCGCTGGCTATCTGGTTGGAGGTGCCATGCTGAACGTGTACACGGAGTTGGGCCAACGGTGAGTGACCTGGGTCCCTGCACAGAGCCAGAGCGGGAGGAGCTGGGGACGGCCTTGCTAGGGACTCAGGGGTCTGTGGGTGGCTCTGGGAGCCCAGCCTGGGGGAGGCAGGGCAGAGGGCTTCCCTGTACCCCACCTGCTGGGTCCAGCCCCTTTCTGCTGCCAGCCCAGGGTGCTCTGTGCCCTCTGTTTCCCAAGTCTTGTCTGTGATGCTAGTTTTGTGACTAAAGCAGGAGAGTTGGGCACCAGGGCCACACCTGTCATTCCTGCCCCTTGGAGGCTGAGGCAGGAGAATCTCAAATTCCAGCACAGCCGGAAACTTAGTGAGACCCTGGCTCAAAAAAATGAGGACGGGGGCTGGGGGCGTGACCCCTGGGTTTCATGCCCAATACCAAAAAATGATTTTTTTTTTAAGCTGGAGGGTGAGAAAGCAAGAACGGTGGGGAGAAGGAGATGGGGATGGAAGAGAAGGGGGAGGCCCACCCTTGCCACCCAGGGCCACAGGGCTCTGGTGGCTCCAGTCCTTTGTCCTGTCCACAGAGGGCACAATGTGTCTCGGGTGCCAGTATCCCTTGGGACTCTGCCGATGGCACCTGTTGGGGCCTCTAGCGCTCTGTCCTCCCAGAAGCTCTAGCGGTAGGGTAGGTGACACATTGAGTGTGACTGGACAGTGCAGGGCCTGGAGGGGCCGGGGCTYATGTCCCCACGTCTGACACTTAGCTCCCTGTGCAAAGGTGGGAGGCAGAGCAGGTCCCCCCAGGGCAGCCGTGGTGTCTCCTGTTGGGCAGAGCAGAGAGGCTGCCTGGGCTTCCTCACTCTRCTGGGTGCCCGTGTCCCTCTGCCCCTCCGCAGGCCGCCCTGCTCCGGCTCCTCCCAGCCTGGGGCTCCAGAGCTGCTGCTTCCCTTGATGCTTCCTGTGCACTATAATCTGCATGTCCTGTGCAGGTCACAGTCACATGTGCAGGGGTCTCTGCGGAGCTTAGTGCACTCCAGCTGAGCCCTCTGGAGCCCAGGGGTGCAATCTGTCCCCCTCTGTGCTGGCTTGGGTGTGGGACACTCTGCTGTTGCTTGGAGAGCCCTCCCCTCCTGGGCCCCTTGGRACTGGGCTGCAGACCCCCTTTCCGGGTCCTGAGTGCAGGTTGTACCTGGAGCCAGCTGTCCCAGGGGATGTCCAAGCCAGCGAGTGGCCAGCTTTCAGTCTGCAGGGGAGGGACAGACTGGCAGCTGCAGTGTGTGGGCCCCTATTGACCATGTGTGGAGGGACTCTGGGGGTCTGCAGAGGAGGAGCCAGTCAGTCACCTGGCCTGTGTGTAGTGGGAGGGTACCACTGAGCCAGTCGGTGACCTTGATGCCGTCACCCTCCTGACAGGACAGAGCTGACCACRGAGAGCCCGCAGTGGGTTGGTGCCTGGTGGATTGGCTTCCTGGGTGCTGGGGCTGCGGCCTTCCTCATCGCCATCCCGATCCTCGGCTACCCCCGGCGGCTACCAGGTGGGTTTACCCCCTTGCCTCCCCGTCCACTTCCTCCTCCAGGTCCTTCTGACTGCTGGGGAGCGAGGGGGGTCTCAGGGTCCTTGATCCGACCCTCCTGTTGGGAGGAGGGACCGTGCTGCAGGCTGGGCAGGCTRGTCAGCCGGAGCTGTGGCCTCCTTCCGTGGCCTCCTCCCACCGCCCCTGGCCACACAGCAGCCTGTCCTGCCCAGGGCAGGCCCTGGTGCTCCTGCTGGCCCCAGGTAGCCCCAGGTGGCACTGGGTTTCTGGGGGACTGTCTGCCCTCCGAGGAGTCGCTGCGAAGGTGTCAGAGGAGGTGCCCCCAGACCTGGGGTGGAGCAGCAGTCAGGGTCGGCCCGCAGAGCCTGTGCCCTCTGGGAGCTGCGGCCACCTGCTGACTCTCCCTCCAGGCTCCCAGCGCTACGTGGCCATGAGGGCAGCAGAAGCACAGCAGAGAGAGCGCGGCCACGAGGCAGCGAGCAACCCGGCCCGCGGGAGGACCATCCGAGACCTGCCCCTGTAAGGCCCTGGGGAGCACGGCCTGGTCCTCAAGACCCCCAGAGGCCCTCCTGGGCCACATGGTGACCCCTCAGCCCCTGAGCCTCTTTCATGACCCACCCACCCCAAAACATGGGCAAARATGAGGCAGAGCCTCCTGGGCCAAGGTCACATCCCTGAGTGAGGGCTGCGGCCACCATGGCTCCCTTACCAGGGGCCGGGGCCTCAGCCTACACCCAAGGACACGCCGAGCACCTTGCAGCCCCATAGAGAACCTACTCCATACCAGCAAGGTTCCCTGTGGCCTGTGCGCCCCAGGGGTCTCCAGGAAGCTGCGTCGGGCCCCAAGACCCCCTGAGAGCCCTGTCCCACAGCCTGGGCCCCGCTGCTTGCAGGTGGCCCTGGTTCTGTGGGACACTGCTGCCACCCTCCTGGCCATCAGCCTGCCTCCCCCCACAGTCACTTCCTCGGCTCCTGTCCTCACTCCACCCCCTCCTCCTCCTCTGTGGTCTGGCTTCGTTGTCTTTGTGCASAAAGGGATGAGGCCTGAGCTGCTGGGGCCTCAGAGGGACAGTGGGGAGCTGTGGACCCCTCGTACCCARGTCCTCATCTCGCAGGACTCTGCATTCCATGGGGCTCTCCACAGGGAAGGGGGAGCTGTCCACTGAGGAGGGGTGACCCATGGCAGAGCCAAGCAGGCCCCATGGACAGGGGTGCTGGAGCGGCCATGCCAGGCCAGGTCATGCTCCCCACTCCCAGCAACGACGGCTCAGAGCCAAGGCCGACAGCCCGCTTAGACAGAGCAGTGAGCCTCATCCAGGGTGGACACGGGCCCCGTGGGCCTCAGCGCGTCAGGGCTAGTTTCCTAGAGCAGCCGTGGAGGGAACTCCAGGAGCACACTCTCCACTGAGGCCACAGCTGGTTCTCTGGAAAATTCAACACGAGAGTCTGCCCAGCARCCTGCGGCTGGATGAAGAGACAGGATGTCTGCATTCCTCCGCACAGAGCACTGCTCCCCGGCCAGGCCCCCCACGGCCGGGCAGGCCTGGGCAACTCTCAGGGCACCACCACCCACTCTCAGTCCCTGAGTACCAGGACCAGCCCGTACCCCCACACCCACCGGGATCTGCAAGACCAGCCCATGCCCTGTGCCCACCTGGACCTGAAGGACCAGCCTGTGCCCCACACCCACCAGGACCTGGAGGACCAGCCCATGCCCTGTGCCCATCGGGACCTGCAAGACCAGCCTGTGCCCTGTGCCCACTGGGACCTGCAAGACCAGCCCGTGCCCTATGCCCACCTGGACCTGCAGGACTATCCTGTGCCCTGTGCCCACTGAGACCTGAAGGGCTCCCATACCCTGAGCCCACCAGGACCTGCAAGACCAGCCTGTGCCCCACACCCACCAGGACCTGCAAGACCAGCCTGTGCCCCACACCCACCAGGACCTGCAAGACCAGCCTGTGCCCTGTGCCTGTCTGGACCTGCAAGACTAGCCCATGCCCCGAACCCACCAGGACCTAAAGGATCAGCCTATGTCCTGTGCCCACCAGGACCTGAAGGATGAGCCTATGTCCTGTGCCCACCTGGACCTGAAGGATTGCCTATGCCCTGTGCCCATTGGGACCTGCAGGGCTCCCATGTCCCATGCCCATCGGGACCTGCAAGACCAGCCTGTGCCCTGTGCCCACCTGGACCTGCAGGACTAGCCGTGCCTCATGCCCACCTGGATCTACAAGACCAGCCTGTGCCCTGTGCCCACCTGGACCTGCAGGACCAGCCGTGCCCCGTGCCCACCTGGACCTGCAGGACCAGCCGTGCCCCGTGCCCACCTGGACCTGCAGGACCAGCCCGTGCCCCGTGCCCACCTGGACCTGCAGGACCAGCCGTGCCCCGTGCCCACCTGGACCTGCAGGACCAGCCGTGCCCCGTACCCACCTGGACCTGCTCTGGGACGGGGTCTCCTGAGCACTCTCTTCTTCCCCGTGTTGAGCCCTGGGAGCTCAGTAGCTGACGGAGAGAAGCCTTTTTCACCGTGAAGTCATACAATCTTGAAGTCTGGCGAGCTCCTGTTCCACATGGAAGGAGCCCTGCCAGTGCTGCTGGGGCCTGCCTGGCACCTGCGCCACCCCCTCGCCTGCCTGGGCTCCGAGAGGTGCCTGCTGGCAGAGTCGGCTCCGAGGTGACGGCGGCTACGCAGTGCACACCTCCTTCTTAGAAGCAATTTTTGTCCTGCGTCCTCGTAACACTGGACCTTCGGGTGTCAGATGTTGAGCATCACCTTGACGTGGGCTTGGGCAGGAGGGCATCACCTGTCCTGCTGAGACAGGAGCCACAGGACCATGGAGCCCTGGGCGCCGTGGGACCCTGAGAGGACGCACAGAGCGGCTTATGCAGGAGAGTCCCCAAGGGCCAGCGTGCACACAGAGGGTTCACCACCACCCTCCCGAGGGCTCTCCAGAAGTTGYTTTCTTGCCAAAAACGGGAGAGAGCCTACCCCGCTGTGAGCCGGGAGACGGTGCTGTGCCCTGTCCAGGAGACCAGTGGCATCTGGGAACAGGGAGGGACCCCATGGAGCTGCTGAGACAGCTGGGCGCATGACTGCAGTCCCGCCAAGCCCCACTGCTGGCCGGATCCGCCCCCGCGCTCTCAAGTGCCTGTGTTGCTCGGCTGAAGCCCACGGCCAGCAGTCAGCTCAGCGGCCTCCTCGGGGCACCCTGCTCTCACCCTGGCCCAGGGGGGCAGACTGAGGCGCCTCCCCACTGGGAAGCTGTTGGGGGACATGCACCTGCCCAGGGGCCGCGAATAGAGGCCCCGTCCTCCCGCATCCTCAGACAGATCCACCGTGGCATCAGCAGGCTGTGTCGGCCCTAGGGCCTGGCTTCACCCCACCCCTCCATGGCCACTGTCCCACCCAGGGCTCCTTGAAGGGCCGACTTCCCGTCCCCAGAGGCTCCCTGCCCCTTCTCCSAGGTCTGGAGGCTGAGACCTCTTGGCAGCCCCGTGCCCTGTCCTGGGCCCACCCAGCCTGGACTTGGTGACTGCCGACTCCCTGTCATTCTCTAGGCCCCTCTGCTGGTTGTGGCGGGCACCACCAGCGGCTGAGCAGTGTCTGGTCACTCAGGTCTCCTTGTGGGGTGGCCAGAAATGTGGCYGTGACAGAGCCAGGGTTCTTGCACGATCCGTTTCAGCAGCTTTCAGGATGAGAGGGTCAGAGGGGCCCTCTGCCCATTCCTGGCTTCTATGGAATAAATGTGGGGTGCCCCCTCACTGCACTGCACTCTACTGCCCCTCAGAACCAGGGCACGTGGTGCTCAGGGGGGTGGGCAATGGCTTTAGGGCGGATCTGGCCAACTCTGACCCTCTGTCTCCTCTCTGGTTCCCCTTCCCCTTCCCTGTCTAGCTCTATGTGGCTCCTCCTGAAGAACCCCACTTTCATCCTGCTCTGCCTGGCGGGGGCTACCGAGGCCACACTCATCGCCGCCATGTCCACGTTCGGACCCAAGTTCCTCGAGGCCCAGTTCAGCCTGAGTGCCTCCGAAGCTGCCACCTTGTTTGGTGAGGATCTCGGGGTGCTCTGCAAAAGGGACCTGCTTCCCCACGAGTCAGGAAGCAAGTGCCCAGGGCAACCTGGAGCCTGGTGGAAGGACCATGTCCCTCTGAGTGGGCAGCGCTCCAGGCCAGAGGGTGGGGCGGGCTCCACCAGTTCACCACCCAGGCCACTTTGCCATTTGTCACAGATGGGATCYGGGACTGTCTGTCCCTGTGAACTGGGCACTGGTGTCCCCAGGCTTCTTGGTGGAAGCCTAAACCGCTCAGTGGCGAGGCAGCTGGCCTCCAGGGCCTGGGGGGTGCTCAGGCCTCCCTCAGTGGTGCTCACAGGCACCTGGGCTGGCAGCTGCCCCAGCCCCGTGGACCCCACACAGGGCAGCAGGTGCCCCAGGTGCGGTGCAGCATGGGCAAGGGTCAGCATGCTGGCCCACTGGCCAGGTCCCCACGTGCAGGGCCCAGAGAGGGCATCAGACTTGGGACCCCTCCCCAGACACCACTCCTCACCTGGCCCCACTGGGCTTACCCTACATGCCCAGACCCACCCGGTCACGCCCTCAAGCCCCTCTCCCACTCCCGCACGCCCTGCTCTCTCTCCTGCCCCCGCAGCAGGCCTGGGTCACGTAGCCAAGGGCTGAGTTTGCCCCGAGGCCTCCTGGTGCACCTCTCAGCATGGAGGCCCTGTGCCCAGCAACCCCAGCCTCCCATCAGACGCAGTCCAGGTTGGCCTGTAGGCTCACGGGGCCCAGGGTGACCAGAGCTGCCCTGGGCTACGCCCTCAGACCCTGCACAGAGGCTCTGCCTGGCCTGTCTCCGTTTCCCTGCCCACAAGTGGAGGCCAAGACCTGGGCCCTGCCTGACCCTCCCATTCCCCAGGGTACCTGGTGGTGCCGGCGGGTGGTGGAGGCACGCTCCTGGGCGGCTACTTCGTGAACAGGTTCAAGCTCCGCGGCTCTGGGACCRTCCGGTTCTGCCTGCTGTGCACCCTGATCAGCCTGCTGTCCTTCTTGGTCTTCCTCACACACTGCCCCAACGTGCCCGTGGCGGGCGTGACGGCTGGCTATGGAGGAAGGTGAGACCCAGCAGCGGGTGCCACACCAATGGGCACTGGTGTCCCCCGAGGGCTTCCCCAGGCGGGAAAGGGTGAGGATGGCCCTGGCAGAGCGTCCACTGCACCRCCCACCAGGTCCTGGCTCTGTCCCCTGAAGTGTCGCATGCTCTKGGCCTCAGTCTCCTCTGCAGGGGGTGGAGTCGTGCCAGCTCACAGGGCCCTGTGCCGACAGGAGCGTGGTGGGGTCGCCCTAGGGAGGGGATGCCAGGGCCCTGTCCCTCGGTGTCAGTGGGGTGAGATGCTCGCACGCAGCCCACACCTGCRCCCAGCCTTGGTCTCCGGGAGCCCTTGAGCTGACGTCCTGGAGCCTGCTGAGTGGCCTGGGCCCCAAGTGCCCTCCCCACACAGGGCTCTCCATGGAGGGAGTGAGGAGGCCGGTCCTCAGGTGCCACCAAGACTCTTTATTAGTTGGGGACAGAGGAAATGTGGAGCAAGGAGTACACCATGCTAGGCCTGGTGCTGCTTCGCGATGGCGGGAAGCCTGGGTGCACAGCCTGCGTGGGGCAAGACGAGGCCGGGCAGTTGGGCCTGATGCTCTTTCCTAACACCCTGGGGCCCCTCCAGGGGAAGGGAGGCCAGACAGCGAGGGTCAGGGCACTGAGGCCAGCCCCCTAGGAGAACCGGAGGCACCTGGCTGATCAGCGACTCACAGGGCGCTCAGGGTGGCACAGACCTGTGGGCGTGTGGCCTGCTCTGGGTTGCCCTGGGCCATGGGCACCTGGCCCCAGCCTCCCTCCCACTGCCCTGGTCTCCCGCAGCCTCCTGCCCAGAGGCCACCTGAACCTTACAGCCGCCTGCAACGCTGTCTGCCGCTGCCGGCCCGAGCACTACAGCCCCGTGTGCGGCTCCGACGGCACTCAGTACTTCTCCCCCTGCCACGCGGGCTGCCCCGCTGCCGAGACAGGCCCAGGTGGCCAGAAGGTAAGTGGCCACTGCCCCACCCCAGCCCTGGGACGGGGAGGCCGGGCCTGCCCCCTACCACCAGGGCTGCCGTTGGCTCCTCAGGTGTACCGAGGCTGCAGCTGTGTCCCTCCGAGCGTCTCTGTGGAGCCTGGCCACGCCACTGAGGGGAAGTGCCCCTCCGCCTGCCCGAGCAAGCCCCTGCTGCTGGCCCTCGTGTTCCTGGTGATCCTCTTCACCTTCCTCAGCAGCATCCCCGCGCTGACCGCCACTCTGCGGTGAGTGGCCGCCTGCCCTCAGACCCCGGCCAGTGCTGGAGTGACACCACCCAGGGAGGTGGCAGCCTGGCGGGTGTGGCTTGGGTGCAGCCACACTGGTGTGTGTGTCGACACTGCGGTTCTCCGTTGCAGGTGCGTCTGTGACCAGCAGAGATCCTTTGCCTTGGGAATCCAGTGGATCCTAGTCAGGACCCTAGGTACCGTGCAACCCGAGAGTGCATGTACCCTGTACGCACAAGGGCCCACCTGGGTGACTTCTCCCTAAGCTGGGCCGCCTGGCGTGACCCCGCGAGGAAGGGCCCTTTCTCTCACTGGCCACTAGAGGGCACCCTTGGTCTTCTTTTGCCCAGAGGGATGCCTCCCTCATTAACACAAAGTCCCCCTGCTTGGAGATGGGGCACTCCCGACCCGGTGCCAGTCTGCAGAGAATGGGCCCCTTTCRCCCCTGACAACACCAAGGGCAGAGTTGCCTTGCCGAGAGCCCACACACGTTGGTCTCCACTGCTCCCAGTGCCCTGCCGGGTGCTAATCCAGCCCTGTCCACAGGCAGCATCCCGGGGCCCATCGCCTTCGGCTGGGTGATTGACAGGGCCTGCCTGCTCTGGCAGGACCAGTGTGGCCAGCAGGGCTCCTGCTTCGTGTACCAGAACGCGGCCATGAGCCAGTACATGCTCATCGCGGGGCTCACATACAAGGTAAGGAGGCCCGGGGCTACAGCGGAGGGCCCAGGGTGGTTCCCCGCATCGAGCTAGGGCTCAGGCCAGCCCGTGTGTCCAGCTCTTGCCTCCACAGACCTTCCCACAGCTGGTTTTCCAAAGGGGTGTCTTCCCCATCCCACAAGCTGGGGCTGGAGGACCAGCGTGCTGTGGAGGGAGTCCTGGCCAGGAGTCAAGAGCAGCCGCCCCTGGACAGCAATGCGCTCCCAGGGCAGGCCTCCTGGGTGAAGTCCCTCATGTCCCAGCCTGGCCCTCTTCCTTCTGCTCTTCAGGAGAGCTCCCTGTCKGCACTGGGGCTCCCTGGGGGACAGAACACTGAGCCTCCAACCTGCCTCAGGGTCTGGGTTGAGGTTGGGAGTCTTGGCCTCTGAGGATTCTCAGCCACCTGAGGTTTTCCTCTTGGGATTAGCATAAAAATAGCCAAGTGGGAGGGGACTGTGCATCTCTGCACAGGAGCGGGGTTAGCTCCAGGGCACTGCCCCCGCACTGCTCCTGCTGCCAGGGTGCCCTGGGCCCTGCAGCAGACAGGCCCTGGGTGGGCCTGGGATGGTGCATGGGGGGTGCAGACAGACTCCAGGGAACACTGGCCTTGGACCACTAGAAACAGCCCTCCCAAGTGCTGTCTCAGGCCTGCAGCCCGGGGATGCCCAGGAAGCGCGGTGGGTGATCCCCTGAGGGTGTGCCCACCCGTGATTGCACTCTGCACATGGCCCCTCACACCTGGCCAAGTCCCTRTGGCCCCAGGCGTCAGGCCAGGAAGCCCAGCTCCACCCCGACACAGAACAGAGGCCCTGCATGGGTCCCTGCCCCCGCAAGGTCCTACAGACCAGCCCCAACAGCAGGACACCTCCCTCAGGGCTCTGAGGTGCCAGCAGAGCAGCCAGCAGCTGTCCCCTGGGCTCAGGGAGAGCCGCCCACCTCTGTGCAGCAGGTCTGGGTGCAGATGCCTGCCCCGCACCCCCAGCCTCCAGGGCCCTCCCCTCGGGCACCAGTCTCCTATGGGGACACCAGTGATTGAATTCAGGGCCACCTTAAATCCARGACGCCTAGTCTTAGATCCCTCAGTTAATGACCTCTGCTAAGACCCTCTTCTAAGTCCCCTCACATGTCTGGGTTGGGACTTGCACATGTCCTTTGGGGGAACTGCCTATGCCCTCTGCAACACTCCCTGGCCCCACCCTTGCCTCCCCTCACTGACAGGTGGGAGTCACCCGGGAACCCTGTGTCTTCTCTCCAGAGGGGGCTGGGCTCTAGGGTCCTTGAGAGGGGGCAGCAGCCAGGTCCAGCAGACCCCTGCCGTCTGTCCCACAGGTTCTGGGCTTCCTCTSCTTCGCGGCCGCCTGCTTCCTGCACAAGGCCCCGTCGGGATCTTCTGATGGCACGGAAGCCTCCCTGCCYAGCCACTCCTCCGCCTCCGAGAGCCCCACAGAGCCCCAGCAGCAGAGCACCCTCTGACCCCAGGCTGCAGGCCTCTGCAGCCCCCACCTGCGCTCCCCGACGTCCCCTTGGAAGGGCTAGCCCCACCCTGGATCCTGGCCTCCTGGGGTTCCCCAGCTTCGACCCAGCAACGGCTGGGGGATCACAGCCTCCGAGGCAGGAGGCTGTCCGAGGTGGCCTGGTGTCCAGGCTGGGCCTTCAGGACGGCGCACCCCGTGGGCGGCTGGCCTGGCCCTGACTTCCTGCCTCTTCCGAAGCCTGGAGCACCTGTGGGAAGGCTGTGCCAGGGGCGCCCCGACTGGACCTGTCGCCTGAGCCGCTGTCACGGCCTGTCCTCRAGCTGTGGCCTCTGCACTGGAGGGGGAGAAACTTGTGTAAATATGTTTGTGGACCCACATTTTCCATAAAGCACATTTAAAGATGTTTCATACCTGGTCACAGGGGGTGCGTCAGGGCCAACTCCYGTGGCTGTGAATCCTGCAGGGAGAGGCCAGTAGTCAGCCAAGAGTGCTGCTCTGTCCCCTTCGAACTGTGCATATGTAAATACATTTTAATATTTAAAGCTTACATCCTGTACCCGAGTTTTATTCCATGAATCTGCAAGGGTTGGTGGCTTTCCCATTCTTCATGTAGCTCTGTGGTGCAGGCTGTCCCTGGCACTGGCCTGGCCCACAGTGCCCTGCTGGGCACCCTCCCTTCCCCTGCAACCTGAGAACAAAGCCACAGCGGCCAGACTCCACCTCAGGGCCCAGCGTGGACAGGCCCACACCGCCTGCCTCCCCACCCACAGATGATCTGCCCCATCTGTGCGTGCCCAGAGTTAGGRGGCAGACGCTGCTAACAAGGAGGGCTACACGTCTGTGCCCCGTGTGACACACGGTGCGAGGGAGCCTGCAGGGCCCTCCKGTGTGCAGGACCACAGCACTCCCAACAGACAGAGGAGACAGCGGGATCTGCCACTCGGGGAGGCTGTCAGGGGAGGCCTGGGGGGCGAGGGGCCCACGGCTGCTGCTAGGAACCTACCCAGCGAAAGCACGGCTCTCCGCACAGAGCTCTCGCCTACTGCACGCCCACCTTCTCCTCCCACAAACCAGAGGGAGGACAGATGCTCCCTGAGTCAGCTACACCCCAGGGTCCACTTCTGCACCCTGGAAACCAGGCCTCAGGAGCGTGGATAGGCGGGTGGGGAATCACATCTTCAGGGCAGAGCAAGACAAGGAGGGCCAGGGAGCCCCAGGATGCGCAGGTCCGGGCCACATCACCCTCCAAGGAGGGTGCCCAGGACAGACACTGGAGCACATTCCCCAGCACACCAGCTCCCACTTAGACTCTGGCTGGCCTGAGCCAAAAGACATGGAAACAAACGTATGAATATGTTCTTAAATTTATGTGGCACATAAATACTTGGAAGTGGTGCACTCCCTGTACCTCTCCCCAGTCATCAGCGGGGCTGAACCACGACCTGGGTTCATGCGCAGAAGCCTSGCCTCAGGGTGTGTTTGGAGATGGGCCTCTGAGAGGGCCTGAGATCTGTGGTCAGCCTCCTCACAGGGAGGCTCCAGGGCAGCTGCTTGTCCTGCCGTGTGAGCCCTGAGAAGCTGCAGCTCTGGGGACACAGTACACCTGTGCCCTGAGTGGCCAAGCACAGGCAGCAGCTTTTCGCCCTGGCTCCTCCTCCAGAGCCACCTGGCCATTCCCTGTGTGTTCCCTGGGGCCAGGCCTCCTGCTCCTGACCCACAGGCACTCTTCACTTGCCCAGGACACAGTGAACCACCGTTCTGTCCAGCCACCCTCCCAAGCGCAGGTTACCTTTCCACTTAGCAGATTTTAACACAAATAGCTCACCTGCTCTCACTGGGGCTCAGGCTACATGTCCACTTGAGGATGTCTGGCTGCCCCTAAATTCTGGGGTCCTGGAGTCTCCCTAGCCTCATCTTATGTACCCCACAGTCCAGGCCACACTGCCCCGGGTCCCATGGGATTCCCACAGAGCCCACCTCAGCCTCTGTCCAGGAACCCAGCTCCGTCTGCAACCCCTGCTGCCCCCTCATCCAACATCCAGGCTGACCATGGTCCACAGCCTGGCCATGTCACCTGCTCCTCCAGGGACACCTGCAGCTCTCGCCCCTGGGAAGGCCAGAGGCAGAGGCTGGGGTGCCAGGATGTTCTGCTGAGCTGTGCTGCCTTCCCAGCTTGAGGCTGGTGGATCCCCAATCGGAGGATCCCCAGCAAAGGTGACCTCATGCTCCTGCCCCCAAAGGGCACATGGAGCCACTCTGGCCAAAACAAATGAGTGGCCAGGTGCCCAGAGCTCTGGCTGTGAGCTCTGAGCAGGGGCCAGGTCCTGGCTCTTAGTGGGCACCCAGTGCAGGAGCATTGGGCAGGACCACAGTTACTACCAGTGGGCACCAGGGGGCAGGACAGGCCTGGCCTGAGCCTGCCAGCAGGGACAGAGTCCCCTCCACACCAGGGCTCCTCCCATCCCAGTGGGAGCTGGCAGCCTGGTTCCCTCCCCCAGCCCCCCCCCCAGGTGTTTCTGCACTAAGCTGGATGCGGGCCTTCCCCAAGCTCTGGGCCAGCCCCTCCASGCTGGGAAGTGGACAGGGCCTGTGACCAGCTGTGAGCAAGAAACCAACCGGCTCCCTGGCCACAGAAACCACAGCTGAGAATCAGTGCTGGTCCTATTCAGAGCCCACATGGTGACCAGGAAGGTCACCCAGGCCAGAAGGCCGCTTGGCTGGACTCCCTGGAAGGAGCCTGGGGAAGCAAGTCCTGTCTAGGGAAAGCCCCAAGCAGAAACTGGACACTCAGCTTCCTGGCATCCTCTCCCTGAGGGAGCAGCCCCTGACCTGGCCCCACAGGGTGGACCACCTGCAGAAGCTGCCCTGCCTCCAGCTCCCTCTTCCATCCCTTTCCTCCCATCTCTGCAAGGGTCTGGGCCCCTCCAACCAGAGTGGTGGCTTAAAAAAAACCCAAAAAACCAGATTTATTAACATGCATATCACATGACACACAAGTCTGCCACCCCAGGAGCACAATCCGTCAGGTTCTGGGTGTCTGTGGTTGCAGGACCACTGCACATCTGCTGGAACATTCTCAGTGCTCCACAAAGACACTGGAACCCCGTGCCCTGGTCCTGCTAGCTCCCAACCACTCAGCTGGGCTCTCCACTGCTATGAAGTCTTCCTAGAAGGATAAGACTTCCTGCCAGAGAATAAAAGCTTCCTAGAAAGAAGGAGAACTTCCTAGAACAGATGAGGACTTCCTGTCAGTGAATGAAGACATCCTAGATCAGATGAGAACTTCCTGTCAGTGGATGAGGACTTCCTGTCAGTGGATGAGAACTTTCTAGAACAAATGAGAACTTTCTAGAACAGATGAGGACTTCCTGTCAGTGRATGAGGACTTCTTATCAATAGATGAGGACTTCCTGTCAGTGGATGAGGACTTCCTGTCAAAGGACAAGGACTTCCTGTCAGTGGATAAGGACTTCCTGTCAGTGGATGAAGACTTCCTAGAACCTATGAGGACTTCACATCAGTAGATGAGGGCTTTCTGTCAGCTGAGTGGCTCCTCCCTGATCGCAGGGCTTCCGAGGCGTCCCTGTGGTGCCAGTGGGTGGCAGATGGCTTCCTCCCTTTCCATGGCTGAGTGGTTGCGCTAGAGGACAGACCACTTGTGCTCCCTCACTGTTTTACAGGACAGGAGGAGTCCCTTGGCTCCCCCAGCTGCCTCAAGGCCAAACTGCACATCCAGTGGTGCCACCCTGGAATTAGGACAAGGCCCTCCATGGGACTCGGGCACACCAGGGGCCTCTCAGGGGGAGGGTGGCAGGAAGGTCAGAACACCAGGCCGTCCTCCTGCACAGGGTGCTTCTCCAGCAACATGGCCCTGGGGGGCTTTTAGGCCCTGGGCAGACCTGGAGGGCCTAGGGGGTTACTCACCTACCCCTGCCTCAGTTTCCCCACTGATGCAACAGCCTCAGCTTCATCCTGGTTGCTGAAGCCTGGAGCAGCTGGTTTACAGCCAGAATAGAGCAAGTGTGCATTGCACAACTAAGGTCCCCATTGTCCTGTTGGACAGGAAGGGGACTGAGGCAGAGCTGGGCAGTGATGCCTGCCCTGGCTTGAACTTTGGAGGGGTCTCTGGTGACCCCGGCTCAAGGCTATCGCTGAGGGCCTCTGATACTTGCCCTGCCAACCTCCACCGAGCTCAAGTCTCCAGAGCAGGCAGCAGCCCCACCCAGTCATTGATTCCCTCAAGAGCAATTTAGGACTTTCCAGGATTAATTGCAGCAGTCGGTAGCTGGGCCATTGCCACACCTGGAAGTCACTAATTAGGAGCCTAATTGGCCTCAGGTCCTCCCCTTCTCACCGAGGGCTGGTTTGCAGCTAATGACTGTGTCCAGAAAGCACGACACAATAATGACGATTGGTACTTACACCTCCAAGGCCCAGGAGTGCACCAGAGGGCTCTTCTGACTCCACAGCAATCTAGACCACCTAAACCAGGATGCTCGGAGCAGGGGGGCTGCCCGGGGACAGACTGAGGGGAGGGAGGCGGCTGGAGGGGTGGAGGTGGGTGGCCTGGAGGGCTGGGAGGTGGCCTGGGGCGCTGGCAGTCTGCTCTGCCTGCTGTGGCCCATCAGTGGGTCCTCTTCTTCTGTCTTGTTTTGTTCTTAAGGAAGAAGAGTGAATTTAGGAAGCTGTAAACACAGTCGGTGACTTACAGATTGTTCTCCTCTAATTGGGTTTATGCCAGGGCCGTGATGGATGTCCGCAGCACGCATTCCAGAACGCTGGCCCCGCAGGGCGAGCTGCCTGTCCTCTGGGGAAACAGTGCTTGTTGCCCACGTTCCAACGCTGGCCGCTGGCCGAGAGAAAGGGCAGCGAGGAGGGCAGTGGAGGCCGCAGCAGAGATTCCCCACCTGGGAGACCCCAGTAGACTGTGGGAGTGAGCAGTTGCCTTGTTGGGCAGACAGGAAGGGCCCCTCTGGGAGGGCCCCCCCCCCAGCCCAGCCCCAACCCATTGCCTCCCCTCCTCACTGTCCTCTCTCCTCCCCTGCTTTTCCCCTCCTCTCCCCCCTC